GGCTCTGGCGGATGGACTGGCCCTGTATGATGACCCGGACTTGTATCTTGGTCCGGAGGATACCTTGATTTCGTCTGATGATGCTCCGGTTATACCCGATTTTCCTATGGCTGGTGAGATTACCCTTTCAATCCCATGGTCACCTTTCATGGCATTTCCCCAGTGAATGAATCAACTCCGGAGCCCGATCCGGCCACTCCGGGTGTACCAGGTGCACCCATACCTTGTAGGTATATTCATATCATTTCATGTGCTTTACTCATGCTATCTTCTAAGCTATGTCAGAAGCTCCCGAACGTCAATCGCCCGAGCCGGAACTCAACAATGAAGCCCTGCGTGCCATGGTTCGGGAGTTCATGCCAATCGGATCTTATGATCAAGCTGAAAGTAAGTATACAACATTTGATTATTTATCTCTGCTAATATCCTGCAAGTTCAATCAATTGTAGATCGCCTGGGAGATTACGAACAGCGTCATGGAAATCTTCCTGCCCCTACAGTAGCCCAAATTCTTGAGGCTGACAGACCATTCAGGATGGCATGGGCTGAAACATGCGACAAGCTGCAGGAAAGCAGATGCGGACCTCCGGAGAATGCAAAGGGTAAGGGAGTCAACCTCCGAAATGCTGAAGGTATTGGATACCCTCATTGAGGCCTTTGAGGACTCAAGTAACATGTAAATATTGATCAATGTCTGATAGTAGACACATTGCAGTACTACTCAGTAGGTAGTCCTTGGTACTTGTATATTCTACCTACCCAGTACTCGCTGCCAGGTTTTCTGTGCTCGGTACTTGGGGCTCGGTACTTGGGGCTCGGTACTCGGGGCTCAGTAGTTGGGGCTCGGCAGTTGGGCTCGGTAGTCGGTGCTTGGTACTCGGGGCTCGGAACTCGGGCCTAGGAACTCGGGGCTCGGGGCTCGGTACTCGGTGTTCGGTACTCGGGCCTTGGTACTCAGGTGACCGGCGTTCGGGCTTCGGTATTCAGGGTTCGGTACTCGGGCCTTGGTACTCGAGATTTGGCATTTGGCAATTATAATTTGTTTGTTAGTACTTTGACATATACATAATAGCACATATGACATTACACATGAGGGCAGGAACATATATGTACATTAAGTGCGTCCCCGTGCTCTGGTGACTCTAGGTGTACTGTCTACTGGCATTTGCAACTTACTCCGGGTCGTCCTCGTGGATGGTTCAACAGTGACTCGAGTGCCCCTCCTCCTTTTCTGTGCCGGCAGGTGTGATACTCTCTTCCATTTCAACATCATCTCTAACCTCGCCCGTCGCGTTGTCAGTTAACCCAGCGAGGAGGTCTCCCAATCGTGATGTCAGTAATGCACCTTTTTTGGCCGGCTTGGCCGGGCGAGGCTTTGGAATTGGACGTGGGACTGCCGGCCCTCTGGGTGTAGGACCTCCCGTCCTGGGCTTCTTCAGCGGAGGTCTCCCGTCAGCCAGGTCATCATCCACATTATGCTCCGTATGATGAGTGGCACTCTCCTTATCACTCTCGGCTTCTGTCGATGACTCCCGAGGCCTTCGGATGGTAACCCTCTGTTGCCTTCTCACTATACGAGTCTGAGGAGAGGGCGAGTTGCCAGATATGACAGATGGTACCATGTCCCCATCTTTGTTCTTCCATGCTTTGAACAGAAATGTGGGCCCTTCGCCTGTTTCTTGCCGAGCGAGCCAAAACTGGAGCAAGGTAGTGGTGTCCCAAATTTGCAGCTTCGAAGGTTCCTTCAAGTCAACATCCGCCGGAAGATACGTCCGGGCCACGAAGTCATCCTGACTTTGTACAATGGCACTCCATGGCACAACCGCCTTGTCCTTCCCGGAGCATATCCCTTTGTCCATGCATTGAACAATTTGTCAGGTGATGCGACGACAAACTCACGATAGTGCGATGTAAGAAAGGCCCTTACTATGGCCTTCTTCTCCTCAAGTTTGGTGTCGGTGATGTCCGGAAGGAGTGGCATACCCTCCCCGTCCATTTCGAGTTCGAAGGCTGGTTTTCGAATTCGTTTTCGACCTCCCTTGACCTGACGTCCTCCATCCCGTGCCCCTGGCGCCTATCATTGTGATGCTCAATATGTTCAATCTGGTATACATGGTTCACACACTCACCGAACTGTTCCTGCGCGTACTCCTGCCACACTGGCTCAATGTCCTCCCAGTCCTTCGTCTTCATGAAGCTGTCCCCATCTCCTAAGGCCTCATTATCATCATGCCTGCATGAATATTTTGAGACGAAAAATCTCCATCTATGGATAAATGTACTCACATCCCGAACAGCACCTCGCCCTTTTCATTCTTCCAAGCTGACATCACAAACACTCTCATCCCACATTGCCTCCACATCTCGTTCGAAAAGTGCTCCATATATGCCGGACCCTTCTTACGAGCGACTTGTGCTTGTATCTCCGGAGGCGGACAGTTGTTGGACCACTCTTCGGCTGTTTCTTTAGCCTTCTCCAACTCGTCGTCGTCCAATTCAGCCATGACTCTCTTCACCGCCACCTGATAATGTTTGAACATACCAGGATCTCCTGGCTTTACCCCGGACTCGTCCTCAATCCTCTTCAGCACCTCTTCGCGTTTTTGCTGGTAGACCACCATCCTGGGAGTCCATTTCCTCCCATACTTGATCATGTCCTTCCTTTCCTTCTTTTTCTTGTTGTTGAACAACCAAGTCTTGTACACCTAAGAGTTGATGAAAGAATGTGACGTTAAAAATTTAGTTTTTCAACACAACAAAGAAGCCTCACCTGCTTCCTCTTTTTCCATTGTTTTTGGTCCAACTTCGGAGCAAACAACCTGGCCGCCCTTGCTATGGCAGTGAAAATCGCTCGCTTCTCACTCCTTTTGGCAGCAGTCCACTCAGGAAGGTAGTTCTTCAACTCCAAAATCTCCTTGTTGGTGAGCTTCTGAGACTGTGGTTGACGCATCCTGTGTCTTCCGGAAGTCGTGTTGGTGGAATGACCTGTTCTTGCCATAGTGAATCAAAATGCAGAAATGGCTAAGGATTTTCAAGGTGAAAGTATTAATGAATTGTGCGAAGTTGAACTTTGAGCAAAGCCTAATGATAGGTTAATCGGCCCATATTGGACCCTGAGCCATTAATGGAAATGAATTTGTAATAAGCCAACAGGACTGCACCGCATCATATTGCAATAACAATTCATTACACCTGAGCTGATGCCTTGCTTGCAACATTAATAAACAAGATGAAGATAGGTAGATGCACCCCAGTGCAAAAATCTCACAGGGTGGAAGCAAGGGGCAGCAAAGGTAGGAAGACTTGGGTCAAGGTCCCACTTGCAAGCACTGAGGCGACATGCCTACAGGTCCATGCCTAACTCTCCCCCGGAATCACCAACAATTCAGCCTGTTGAGGCACCGCCTCCTTGGGAAGACTTTCCTGACAATACTTACGAGCAGGACCAAGGCTCATTTGAGCCATTGCAACTCCCAAAAACCATGGCAAGTTCATGTACAATGTTGGAGTGTCATTCAAACTATGGCTAAGCATTCAAAATACAGAGTCAAAATGACTACCTCAGGCAATGGCTGCCAAGGCAGGAATCATATCTACATCACCTCCTCGATCGAGAAGCTCCACCCGAAGACAGGAGATGCATCATCTGCCAACAGGATGGGGTGTACAAATGTCAAGATTGTCTTGGCGAGCCACTTTATTGCACGGGCTGTTGCAGGAGTCAACATCGTAGCAATCCTTTCCACTGGATCAGTCAATGGAATGGGCGATTCTTCGAGCGGAGTTGTCTAGCTCATGTGGGACTCATTATATACCTTGGCCATGATGGCAAACAATGTCCGGCGGTCACCGATCGGTGGGATTTGTTTGAAGAAGATGAACCCGAAGACCTGCTCGAGCCTGAAGATCTGCCATTTGTGTCCGGACCCGAGTTCCAGCCAAAGGAAAACACCATGGTCATCGTGGACAAGTCCGGAGTTCATCGCCTGGAGGTTCGATGCTGTGAATGTCCGAATGCCATGAGTCCGGACATTCAAATGTTTCGACACGGATTTTTCCCTGCATCTTTTAACAGGCCAAAGACTGTGTTCACCTTCAGAGTGCTCAATGATTTTCTACTGGACAGCCTTGAATGCGGCACCTCGGCGATGAACTATTACAGCAAGCTCCGGCGAATGACCTCCAGCATGTTTCCACACCTTGTTCCGGTAATGCCTTACCCTCATGATCTACTGGACATCATATTGACAAAGCACATTGCAAGGACCGATACAGAGAGCTCATGAGGGTCGCTCGACAGTGGAGGCAGTTGAAGACAATGAAATGGCATGGCTTCGGCCATCGTTCTGATAACCCGAGCACAGGAGAACTTGCATTATTTTGCCCGGCATGTCCTCAGCCTGGGATTAATGTGCTGTTGTCAGAGGATGAATCTCTTGATGAGTGAGTCCTATTCTCAACCTATGTGGCCTCCATAATAATACTAGGGATCCAAGCTGGAAATACACCCGGTCATTTGTGATGGACGGAAATTTCAAAGCCGAACATCTGCATCCCATTAAGCCATTCGATGAAGTTTGGCTGTCCGATGGGCTTGGATTCATGGTGGGAAAGGACAGGTATAAAATGCACCTGGCAGAGGCTGCTGACACAGTGGAAAAATCAAGCTGCAACAATCACCGGGCAGTAAATCAAGCTAATGCTGCTCGGCACAAGCTGGAGTCCACCGGTATCGGGGGAGTTGCCTGTGCCAGACACGGTTGCTTTGTCCCTCACTCCATGGTGGATTTTCAGAAAGGCGAAAGGCAAGCCACATCCACCATTCCCCATTCACGAGTTAACCATGGGTCACTTGCAGACAAATGAACATGGACTACGCCCTTTGCGAGGCTTCCCGGCACAACATGGAAGGCATCACCAGGGCTGTCACCTTCTATGATATTAATTGTCAATACAACAAACACTTTCGGGTTCGGGTGGATCGAAGTCGATTTCTAGAAATGGCACCACAACTAACCATCATTCCCGGAATTGGGTTGTGGCACGTTCATGGCCATCAGGACAGCTGCTATGTCCGATATGCTTCTAACTTTATTGAAGGCATTGGTCGGATCGATGGAGAGATCATGGAGACGCTATGGGCACGGCTCAATTTGATCTCCCCTGCTGCTCGGGGAATGTCATCTCCCCACCGAAAGGAATGCCTTGATTATCAGATGAATGACTCCAATTTCTGCAAGATGATTCGCATGAAAAGGACTCTATGCCGGAAATACAAACTGGCTAGGAATGGTATCTTAGAAAGTGGAAAGGCATTCGACAGACTCGATGAAGCAGCACCCTCACATTTGAAGACAGAATGGTTAGCCAGGGAGAGGATAGCTCAGTCAAGCAGATTGAATGATCCTTCAGCCATGGATGAATATGAGATCAATATCAAAAAGGGTACGTTGAGTTCCATTGTCTCCGTCGAGGATTGAATTAATATTGCACTCAGCACCTAGCAAAAAGGAGATCGAGCTTAGATTGTTAGAGGAGGGTAACGCCCGCAATGCAGCACCCTCTCGCAGATCTGTGGCGACATGGATATCAACAGGGTTAGCAATTGAAGAGGCTCAGATTGCATTGCTCATCGAGGTCCGAAGGATCAGAAGAAGATCCACCGAGACACAGAGATTAGACATCGCCCGTCAAAGAGATCGGCTCCAAGGCCAGATAGATGGATTTGCTCGGTCTGCTCTAACACATCTCGGGGAGGGATTTGATGCAGATGATGAACCTGAAGACTTGGACGTAGACATTCTAGATGATCTCGATGATGACCCGGCGGATTTCACAGAGACATCTCACACATGGACAAACTCTCCCGAGCTAACTGTAATCCCATTGCCATCAAACCTGGGGGTTGACAGATGCAGATGATGCATGGCAGAGGATCTGATTCCCCTGGAGATGTCGCTTCGTGAAGGGCAGGCCAATGATGCCCTTCACAATCTCCGCATTTACCTTTGCAACAAGGCCATCCTGTTCCGAACAACTGTTAGGCAGGCCAATTCCCAGGCCCTGAAAACTCGAGCTTGGTCCCAGGTGACTGTCGGTGCAGCAGGCAGTCTCCCTCCATGCCAGCATATATACAAAGACAAGGAAGCAAATGATGAAACTTGAGCCGGGGCAAGACCAGCTTCAGAAATACAAACCCCTGCTTCGCGAGCAACTCAAAATCAGCACTGCAGTGGGCGACCCAAATGCCCGAGGTCAACGAAATGAATCTTTGGCTTGGTTTTGGTCTGTTGAAGTCGACCTCGGGGGTCCTGATCAATCGTGGAATGAAGAATGTGAGTTCCCGCTTGCATGTCATATCCCGCGGTTACCTGACTGGACCCATGCCAAGTTTACCGAGTCCATTGGCTGAGGGCAAAGGCACTACGGGATCGATGGAGGGAAGAAATGCTATTGGTCACATTTGAGATGGATTGGACATGTAAGTTCTTTTTGTGGAAAACAACCATATGGGGCGAGCACATGCAGGAATCATTGGAGAAACGACTTCCGGGTCATGGATGCTATGCCGGAAGGCAATCCCACATGTATTCATTGCTGGCACAGGATGCGCAGGCAGCTTTTCAAGACCTACAAAATGTGTTGATAGAGGCTGGAGATGAATGAACATTGTTTTCTCATGAAGTCCCTTTTTCCACATACATAATTGACGCCCGGGAATTGTCCGGGTCAGCCCATGTCGGAGTTTGAATTTCGTATCCATCCATCAGTGATTCTTATCTTCACATCTTCACCATCTTTCACTTGTATTGCCAGCGCCATAGTCCTGTATTAGCCATGTCTGCATCTCATGCATCCACTTCTGGCACTCTGAATCCCGGAAGCCATTACCGACCTCTGAAGCTGAGCCTTGCAACTATTTCCTGCACATTGGCAATGGCTGGATCGCGCGTCCGTGCAATCATCTCTCAATATCGGACGGAAGCTGCCAACAATGGTCTATCTGCTGACCGGATCAAGTATTTTAAAGCCGGGCTGCAATGGGAGATGAATGTATGTCACCACTGCCCTGATGACTTTGTTGGTCAATGCTAAGAATTTGAGCAGACATTTGTCACACCACTCCTGCAGTACTCCGCTTCACAGAATATCGTGTCGGTTCTTCCGGTCCCTGTCGCTTATATCCTTAAGTTGTATCCCATGCTGACCTGGAACACTGTTCCGGACGACGTCTTTTCATTCCACCTCCTTTCATTTCATGATGAGCCAATTGCAGGACATCCGTCCCGGATTGTGTTCGCATATACATGTCCATGGTGGATGGGAAACACCACAATCCCTGATCAACCATGGCAGTGGGATGAAATAATGGCTTCCTGCGTCTCTCACTACCAGTATTGGGCGGTAAGATGTCAGCTGAATTACCTTGATTGATGACTTATCTGTTTCAGCTTAATGTTGAGGATGATGCTTTGGTACTTCCAGAGAAGTTGAAAAACACTTCGACTCCACCACTCATGGGACTGAGATTCATCAAAGAACGCATGGAAGCATTGCTGGAGGAGCAAGATCAGGGCATCGAAGCTAAGATGGGAGAGGTGAAGATGTACACTGACATGTTAGAGAAATTGAGGAAAGGCAAAGGAGTGTAGTCCCATTCAGTCTTCATTGTATACAAGATGTAACATATTCTATGCATTCAAAAATCTCACATTCGAGTCCCGGACGCCCAGGTCCCGAGTCCCGAATTTCGGAGGTCGGAGGTCGGAGACCCGGAGCTTGGCAACTGTGTTGGCTGTCAGGGTATCCAGACCATTGGAGATAGCATGTGTCAGTATTTTGCATTTCATGGTTTATGTTGGGTGAATATGGAATCGGGGATCAGGGACTCGGTATTCAGAACAGTGTCAAGTCCCAGGTCACGAGCTCCGAGTCCCGAGTACCGAACCCTGAGTCCCGAGTCCTGAATTTCGGAAGTCGGGGTTCGGCGACCCGGAGCTCGGCAACTGTTTTGGGTGTCAGGGTACTCGGAGCATTGGAGATAGCATTTGTCAGTATTTTAAGTTTCATGGTTTATGTTTCGTGATTATGGAATCAGGTGTCAGGGACTCGGTATTCAGAACAGTGTTGAGTCCCAGGTCATGAGCTCTGAGTCCCGAGTCCCGAAACCCACACCCAGCAGTTGCCGAGCTCCGGGTCGCCGAACCCCGACTTCCGAAATTCGGGACTCGGGACTCGGGGTTCGGCACTCGGGACTCGGAGCTCGTGACCTGGGACTTGACACTGTTCTGAATACCGAGTCCCTGATCCCCAATTCCATATTCACCCAACATAAACCATGAAACGCAAAATACTCACACATGCTATCTCCAATGGTCTGGATACCCTGACACCCAACACAGTTGCCGAGCTCCGGGTCTCCGAGCCCCGACCTCCGAAATTCGGGACTTGGGACCTGGGCGTCCGGAACTCGGTATTCAGAACAGTGTCGAGTCCGGAGTCCACAATGTCGGGGTTCAGGGTTTTGTTAAATGTGTATGGCAATAACAAATGTTAATTCGAGCGTATTTATACATCTTCCCCCAGTCTCAAATATCACTTGCTGAGGTCCGGGTGTCGGGACTAAGTACCCCGGCACTCAGGACTCCCATATGTCAAGTCCCGAGTTCCAATTATCGAATACCGAGGCTTGCATCCAAATTATTTAGTCCCACATATCACTTGGGAAATGCTCAAAATTGAGTATTGAGGTCCGGATCACAATTGGTACATGGTATTCATTTGTTGGAATGTATATAGGTCACAATGCTTGCTCTTTGTTTGATCTTTCACACGCTGTATGCACCATCCACACTAGCCCATCCACATGATGGAACACCAGCATAAATATGAACAGCATCCCTCATATACCATGCCCAAGCAATCCGATCCCCTTCCACATCATACACTCCATGTCTCACAATCTTTCCGGAAAATGCAATCATACAGCCGGAATTGTACTTGAACTCCAGCTGAAGGTTTGGCATTGTCATCCGAGCATTAGAATAGTCCCCCACGGTGGTGAGAATGTCGAAGCATTCAGCAATGGACATGTGGTCTCGATGATGGGGGGTTTCCCGATTGGAAATGATGGAGAGGGTGTTAAACACGGATGCCCAGTACTGCAGGGCCTCCGGCATCTGTGGCAGATCCTTGCTTACTGCTATATTTCCAAGGTTTGACAAGGTTCTCAACCCTGCCCAGTACTGCTCAGGATGCATGACTCTGAGTGCCGCGGACGCGATGGCTGCTGGCCTTGCAATGGCTTTGAGGATATTCTTGCAGGAAGGTCCCTTCAATGATGCAGATACCTCCGGATCGGACACATTCTTTGGGATTGGTAAGTATGACTGCCGGAATCACCATCTCATCAGATCCTACCTCGTGTCCCTGTTGAAACCATGCCGGAGATAGATTGATGCATCCGGGAGTTGCTCCAACATCTTCCGAGCCCCGGTTGAACAACCTTTGATTAGTTCGCCAATTGCCATCAGCCCTTACACTTTTTTCGAGGCTTGGAGAGAGCAAATAGGTGGCCTCCCTGATTTCCTTCTGTAGGTTCCATTAATATTCGATATCCATCGAGTAACAATGTATATTACACACCTGGGTGGTGTCTGTCAGGGCATCTGGGAGATACCATGCAATGATGGCACCGGATGCATCAAGAATTATTGCAGGTTCATCGACCAACCTTTTGCCTTCATGGCCAGGAGGACACCTCTCAAGCAACCTCGCCTCTTTATGTTCATTATGCCCGGTGTCCTTCGGGGAGATCAATTTGCTATATCTTGCAATATCCATCTGCATCTGAACTGTCATGCAGGAATTTGAATGATAAATAGAATTTTCCGAATCTGCAGGAAGACCCACTGGGATTTTTAGATGCCTTTATGAGTACATCAGCCAAGCGATCGCACGCCATCACCAGATCAGTGTCTAGGTTGGGGGAAGGTATGACTGGGCCTCCTCCAGTCTTCTCTGCCTTGAATTTCTGTTCAGTATATTCCCCTGCTTCATAAGTCACAGTCAGGGCCCAAGTGCGCCAGATGTTTATGCTATCAGGAGGGGAAGGGGAAGAACCGTTCATGCTGGATGTTAATCTTGGGAAATCAGACGCTGAATGCTGGATGTCCGGACTTTGGTGTTATAGGGGGTGGAGATAGAGAGGATCAGATAAGGGAGCCATGGATAATTTTGGCCGCTGTCAAAGATGTATTATTATCCATTGCTCAATGAAATACTACCTGATTGGAAGTGTGCTGGTCATCAGATATTCATTTGTCGACTCCTGGGTCCCGGTACTCGGAAGTCGGTACGGTTGACCCATATTTGAGTGGTTGGAATTTGGCGTCTCATAGGGCAACACAAGCTTCGTACTGCCATATCAGGAGATCACCTGCTGCTCCGGGAACTCGGTAACTGTGATTTATTACCTCCTCTGAGTAAGGTTGACTCGCTGGTCATCAGATATTCATTTGTCGACTCCCGGGTCCCGGAACTCGGAGGTCGGTACGGTCGACCCATATTTGGGTGGTCGGAATTTGGAGTCTCGTAGGGCAACACAAGCTTTGCACAGCCATGTCAGGAGATCACCTGCTGCTCCGGGAACTCGATAACTTTGATTTATTACCTCCTCTGAGTACGGTTGACTCACATTTTGGCGGTCGGAACTTGGCTTCTCGTAGGGCAACACAAGCTTCGCACCGCGGATTCCATATTCTGCAAGACAACCTAAGCACCATCAGAGGCCATGTCAAGAGAGCACCTGCTGCTCTCTTCAGAAACATCTGAACTTCGGTTGGCCATTTAACATGGAAAGTATTAACTAAATTATGTGTTGAGTTCCGGGTCCCGGAACTCGGAACTCAGTACAGTTGACTCCAATTCTGGTGGTCGGAACTTGGCTTCTCGTAGGGCAACACAAGCTTCGCACCCCGGATTCCACATTCTGCAAGACAACCTGTGCACCATCAAAAAGTATTAACCAACTTATGTGGTGAGTTCCGGGTCCCGGAACTCGGAACTCGGTACAGTTGACTCAAATTCTGGTGGCCGGAACTTGGCGTCTCGTTGGGCAACACAAGCTTCGCACTGCCATGTCAGGAGATCACCTGATGCTCCGGGAACTTGGTAACTTTGATTTATTACCTCCTCTGATTTGGTTGATGTACAACTACCTCAGCTCCATCATGTCTACAATTATGATACACATGGGCCCACCCATCTATATTGTATACCACCCTCGGCCCACCGGTCTAATACAACATCCCATACAACACCCTCGGCCCACCGGTCTAATTAATATGCGTCTGGGCCCACCCGTATAATACAATATTTTATAATACCCTCGGCCCACCCGTCTAATTTAATATGTGTCTGGGCCCACCCGTGAATGTGATAACAAGTACCTACCCATCTATCTCATACACATCTACCTTAATACACCCATCTGCATAATATCCAGCTACCTCGGCCCACCCGTCTACCTAATATTCATTTACATCGGCCCACTCATCTACTCTATATATTCCCTGCATGGGCCCACCCGCCTCCATCGGGAATAATTTGCCTCCCGGCCCATCCGTCATAGTCGAGAATATTTTTATCATGGGCCCATGGTCCGCTGGCCCGTATCATACGGGATATTATGCACGTCCGTTCCCTCGTATTATACGGAGATATGTCACTGTAGTATGTGACAAAAGATAAAGAAGCCGATGAAGATGAGGACTGAACCCCGGAAACTCCCCTAATGGCATAAGCCTGGATTCCTTACCTTCACCGATACCAGTTGATTCTAACAAAACAATGAAGTATCCCTGACTGTCCGGAATGACTTGAAACTACCACGAATTCTACAGAAACTCCTCTTAACCGACATAAGCCTGTGGAACCCTCTAGAATGCTGACCCAGATTCTGATTTAAACAAAAGACATCTGAAGAACACACCCACCCCAGATCTTGAACTCTAACAAGATATTCTGGAAGAATGAACTGGCATGGTGACCATCCCCTCTGCCCAGACATGAGGCCACACACGCCTTGATAGATTGAACCTTGGCAATAAAGGTATCAAACAAAAGATAAGTCAAGTGGAGCTTGGAATGATCCAGAAGAACATATAAAGTTACTCTCCTACGATCGTCTCTCCTCGTGAACTCCCTTCATCATGATGACTTCCTTTGAAGAAACTCCTGCCATTGTATCCTTGAAGGACTCAGGTTATCCCAAGATCCTTGACCACCTAGAGAAAGGCGCATCCGCTGAGACCACCATACTCTCCCCTGATCATTTCCTCGAGATCGACACCATCCTTGGAAATGCCGATGTTGGAACTGCTGCCACCACGTCGCTTGTGGTTAACATCATCCGCACCACAAAACTGCTTGAGAATGCAGTAAGTTGTGAAGACTTGGACGCAGCAACCAGAGCACTAGCAGTGCTGCAGTTCCAGAAACAGATTCGTGCTATTGCGCTTCACCTACTCCCAGATGACTTCACCGATACTATTGCACTCGCCACCAAAAGAGTAGGAGAAAAGATCGATAGACCTGTGCGCACTCTAAAGAGAAAGAAAGCCATGATCGACCACACCTGCATCTGCCTTCGATGCGGAGGATACAGACACACCTTCAGAAAGTGTCCAGACTATGTTTGCTGCGTCTGCAGTGAACTTGGACCAGACCACTTGTCAGTCCATTGTCCTCAACTCAATGGAGAGATACAACTCCAAGAGTTTAGAGATGACGAGAAGTTCTTTGAGACTCGTAGACTGGGAGAAGAACCACGTCGCGCTAGAAGCACTCATTGCTCAGAACCCACTACCACGTTCGCCGACCCCTCACTCCCGCACCACGACACCCGCACCCTCCTGCACTCTCACAGAGGAGAAGAATGAAGATTGTTGAAGCCGGTGACTTCAACCAAAGTAATGGGGTAATGTTACAATAACATCGCCAGACCTAAGCCTAGGTCCTGACTGACAGCGGTCCAGAACCGTTATGACTTCACTATGGCCTAGAAGGCCTCCCAATCTCATCATGATGGCTGTACGCCTCATGTAGAACTAGACCAATGCATGTTGCACCATGTGTTGATGGACCTTTAGGCCGGAGCACCTCATGTATGTATCTTGACATAGAAGAGGTGCCTCATGCACCTTATCAGACAAGCAAGGCTTGCCTCACCTCGTCTTATCTCTGACTCAGGTAGAGTACTTGTTCATCCTTTCAGAGTGACCCTAGTCTCTCTGTCTAGACCGCACTTCTAAGGCAAGCCGACACTACCTTAGCTGTATATCTGTTGTAGAAACAACAATACTGGGAGGAACAAATGATGCTCCTGACTGTATCTAAAAAAATGTTGTAGGTCGTGCGTTGCCTAGTCTGCATTACTTGAGGAGACAAGCGCGTTCGACCCTAAAGGGAAGCGAGTGCAGCGAAGATCTAGAGGTATGCGCTGAAGCGAGGCGCGAGAAAGCGCAGGTGCGCGCAAGGCGCGGGAACACACGTGCGTATTAGCACGAAGTGCAGGAAAGCGCGCACACGCATGCGGAAATGATAGATAGACTAGACTTAAGTGATAATATGATGCAAGAGATGTCAGAGTGCGAGATGTAAAGGAATAGAGCTCTATTGCGACTTTCTAGGTAGTAAGTACTAGGTAAAGTGAGAGGTGAAAGTAAAAGTAAAGTAAAGTGAAAGGTAGGAAAAGTAAGTTGGATCGTACTGCTGGCGCTTATATAGCGTACCTAAGTGTGGTCATGCGGAGCCGAAGTGCTACCGAGTAGGTATGTAAAGATATATATAAGTAAGGGTCCATGATAAAAATAAAGTGGAACAATATACAAATGAGAGAAACAGAAATATATGCACTAGAGAACTTGGAGGACAGTGGATGGATGCATCTGGATGGCTGGCACTATAGGGTGCTCAAGCGCGGGAAAGTGTGTGTGCATATACATCGCAAAGCGTGCGAATGGTGCGCGCATGGCGCGCGTTGCATGGGAAAGCTGCGCCTCGTATAGGGATAGCTGCGGGTAGCGCACGGAGTGACACTACAAGTTCGTGCTATGTACTCCTTGTTGGAAACTGCCATATCACGCCATGAGAGGCATGAGTCTCTACACTGTTAGCCCTTCAGCTTGATGAGCTGCTGCGCTTACCAAGCTTGACGGAGGATCCCTTGGGCTTCATCCAAGGCTAGAACACCGTCCTTCCATCTTTGCGTGATCGCTTAGAGATCTGCCATTCGGTATTGGGAGGCTCGACCTATCCAAGTCGTAACAGGTACAAGCATGAAGCTTCCTGGTGAGAGCACAAAGCTCCAATAGAGCATGAAGTCCCTGTGTTCAAATGCTCAGTAACATGGGGAGGGAGGTCCTTGATAAATTTCTCCAACTCTTCCAGACAACGTAAAATGATGCCATCTGTGTTGATAACAAGAGGGATTGAGTACACCTCGTGAGAGTATCCAGCGAAGTCTGATAGCTGACCTGTAATGCAAAAAAAAGTTAGTTTATGTAGGGTACAGACTACCTGAATATGTATGAGGAGTCCACCCCTTGATAGATAGGATGACATTGGGCTCCTGCACAACCACACCATGAGTTCTGCGATTCTCATTGGACTTCTTTGATTTACCTTTCCACTTTGTCATTGTGGCTTTCTCTGCATTGTCCTCGTCCTTGTCTTGGCCCAACTCAGTCTCATACATGTTGCCGAGATGCTTCCTGAGATATGGACCCACTAAGGCGCATAATTGACTTGCAGACAGCGATTTGAGATCAAAATCAGGGCCAGGGGATAGAACTCCTGCTGGCCAGTCATGAATGCAAAGTTGCATATAGTAAAGGATGTCAAGCATCCTCATCCACCTGCTGTTTGACATTTTAGAGGGATGACCAGCATCAGCTACTGAAAGCATGTGAGTACACCGACAGTGGAATCTGATAAGACACAAACCAAATGCTTCACTGATAATTAAAGGCGCCACCATGCAATTTCTATCCCTGGCAGATTTGCCATTGCACAAGAGGGGAGCATTGGGGACTGCAACAGGTGGTGAGAGAGAACTGAGACTCTTGCCTTCTGCTTGAGCAGCCTCCAAGTCCTTGTATCTGTAACACATCTCATGTATATTAGTATCACATCCTCTTGAAGAAAAAGACAAAAAAACACACTTTAGGATTGTAGTAAGCTCATCTATCAAGCGATTTACATCTACTTGTTGAGCATCAATGAGAGCCTTCACCATATTAGACCCTGCAAAAAAGCCAGAGGCCTGCCAACCAGATTCCTTATCTCCTGGATAAATGGTAATACCAATGATATGGATTCTGTGGGTGCGATGTAGAAACAACTATTCAGATGGGGATATACTGGACTATGTGTTGGGTCTTGCTTGCCTAAGCTGCTATGCTTGTAGTGACAAGTGCATTTAACCCTAAAGGGGAAGCAAGTGCAGCAGAGATCTAGAGATTGGTGTGGAGGGTGCCACTCATCGGCCGATGTGAAGTGCGGGAAAGTGCATGAGGCGCAAGCATGAGAATGAAGCGTGGGAAGGTAGTGCTTGGGCAGCGCGAAGCGCGAGAAAAGCACAAGGTGGGTTTACAAGAAGAGCTTTGTGATAGATGTTAAGAATATTCTTATTGCCAATAGCTACTAACTATGGCATGTGATGGATGAGCTTTACACTGATAGTGAGGTGCAGGGAGCTTCTATATGATTCAATGATGTAAAATATGAACTACAGGCGCTTATATATGTCTAAAAATGCGCCCCTGAAGTGGAGCAAAAGCAAGTAGGTAGAGTATGTATGTAATAAGGGTCCATGACATGAGAATTGAGCAATCACTAAAATATAATATGGTCTGATATGGAGAAAATGATATGAACACATACCAGTGAGGTTAGTTTGGACAATGGATGGATGTGTGACGTAGGGTGCTTCGAGCGCAGGAAAGCATGGTTAGTGCATGCGCGAGAATGCAGTGCTTGGGGCGGCCGATGTGCAGGAAGGTAGCATGTACTTGGTGGAGGAGAGTTTCGCTTCGCATAGGGAATGATTGGAGAGGTATTGATACAAGTTGTGCATCAAACTGTACTTTGAGATGGTCGCATATATAGCCTCTGCAAAGCCACAGAGATATCAGTCTCTACAGCGGTACCAATATGAAGCCTTCAAAATATTTAGTCATTGATCAAGTCACCAAAGAACACTTGCCAATTTCGCAAACACTTCATGAACTGCTGTCATGAGACTGGATGACTCCCGTGATGAAAGATCCTCAGGGCTGGCAACCACACTATCCCAATGGTGTTGGATTTTCTTCCATAGGGATGTGTGGTTAGGGTCTTTGTATGGGTGGGCATGATAGTGTGCATTTTGCTTGACTTTCCATGATGCCAAGTTCATTGGAAGGTCATTAATAAACACCAAAACAGTCATGAATACAATAACTTATGTTCTTTGGATGGAGGTAGTACAGTCGGGAACCAGGCTTGATGCTGGTTCCAGGCAGACTCTTTGCAAGTTGCCTTCATCGCTAGTCCTGCCTTGATAAGAATCACCCTCCAGTGTTTCCCAAACTCTTTTCCAATTGCAGTTGCTTCAGCCATAACTCTCTTGCCAAATTCTTCCGTTTTCAAAACACCTTCTTTGGACAGTCTTCCTGCTTTATGTGTGGCCCCATCCCCATCTTCAGATGTCTGATCTTCATCACAGCCCTCAGGATTGGCATCGGCATTGTCACTGTGGTCGTCTGCCACTGCTCATCCCTTCTGCTTGTCATTTGCAGACAATCTGAATGGCCTTGCAGGATCATTAGCGCGTTCTGCTTTCTTTCACTTCTTCTCTTCAAGTTCTGCCCAGTTGCTGTCAGAGTCAGAGCTCTCTGTGGGTTTGCTCTCATGACCAGGAGCATACCATTTGCGAGCACCAGATCTACGCAGGCGAACAGTCGTGGGTGCAACTGCAGCAAGACACATTAGTTGCGTACTAATATATATATAGCAAAATTTAAATTTACCTGTAGTCTTCTCCTGTTTATTTGTCACTGCAGTACCATCACATTCACTGTCAGACAGAACTACAATAAAGCATGTTAGTTGTATACCACGAGACATGCCACAAAACTTACCTGCATCTCTCTCCATTTTGTTCGTCATAGTAGTGCCACCACATTCACCATCAGATAGACCTGCAATAAAATATGTTCATTGTATACTATGACATGTGTAGCAAAACTTACCTGCATCTCTCTCCCCTTCATTTGTTGCTGCAACACCACCACATTCACCATTGGATCTCTCCCCTTCATCTGTCACTGCAGCACCACTGCATTCACCATTGGATCTCTCCCCTTCGTGTGTCGCTGTAGCACCACCACATTCACTGTCGGATAGAACTGTCACGCAACATATTAGTTATTTACTACAAAATGTTTAGTAGTACTTACATGCAGTCTGCTCTCTGTGGTTCGTCGCTGCAGCAGGTCAACATTTAAATACATCCTGCATGGGAGCAACACACATACCTGAATCCTCATTGGCATCATTACTAGTACCATCTTCCTTGAGACCAGCTGGACAACAAAATTTAATGAGTTGATAATGAGTAAAAGACCGAGAGAAAACTTACCTGATGGCACATAGCCATCTGCACCATTTGTGGACCCATTGGCGGTGTCAGACAACTGGACCTTGGGACCTTCATTCATGTCACTGCACTTCTTCCTGCCAAGTGACGAGCATTTGCTGAAGTTAGAGAAGAAAATATCTTCTTCAGCAGATGATGTCATGGGATCAGAACATTTGGACCTTGGAAGAGGGCGAGCCTTGGGTCGAGGATGCGGCTGATGTTGATTTAGTAGATAATAAAATGACAATTATAAGCTTACATGGTCTTGGGTTTGGGTATTCATGACAGACTTCGGGCCAGCATGAGAGCGAGTTTGCTTTCATGTAGTACATGGAGAGGCCTTTAGCAATCAGCAGTGGTTGCAGTGTGAACAATAAGTAACACATTACCTGGTTGTCATCGGCATTAGATTTGGCAGCCTTTTGGTCCTTGGACGCGTAAGTGCGAACATAGTCAGGTGGTGGTGGGGCTTTAGTCCAACACCCCGAATGGGTAACAAGAGGCATTTGAAACTGCTTCCAATGATCACAAAGATACGAGGAAGATAAGTTGAAGAACACAAAGTTGCCTCAACAGTTTTATTTCACTGACACAAAGTCAGGTAAAGATACGAAAAGCGTGAAAAAGTTGAGAATGTTAGAGTGAATATAGGAGGGGCTGGAAATTTTGATGGTGTCTGAATATCATATCACATTATATACAGCGACCAGACTCTATGAAAATAGTTATTGCGTTGATTGAATAATTATCTGGAATGGAACTTACTAGCATATTGGGGTGTCACCCCCAAATAAAGCTAGTAAATGTGGGCCCTTACTCAGGGATGTGTCACAGTAATATAATAGAGCCAAAACAACAGTTGGAATAGAGTTGAGAGATGATGTGCAGTGTATGAGACATCAAGTTATAAGTTACGGCATTATAAAGGCCAGGAACAGAAGGTAAATAAGATAGTGTGAAGGTACAATATAATGTGCAGGTGGTGAAGAAACTGAATCCAGACTTCAATACACAGTAGAGACGCCAGTAGAACCTTCATTTGTGGGGGATGACTGCTATTTCCAATGGTAACAGATGGTGTATGAAAGGGACATGTGAGGGTAGACTCACCTATAAAAAACGGAAAGGCGGATGGAATGGACTGCCATAATATGCAGGTATGTGGATGGATGACAATAATGATCTCTGAGGATTTGGTGCAAGGGTATATCACTAGAAGTAGATATGAGACAAATGTGTACACTCACTTATTAAAGACTGGAAGTGAAGTATGACGCACCAGATTGAACACACCATCATAATATGCGAGAAATTAATGACGAGGTTAAAGGACCTGTTTAAACAGATGATTAAGATTTTAGCGTATTCTGAGGATATGACACTTACCCGCAAGATGATAGTCACTCAATCCAGACTTAAGTTCTTTCTGATCCTCGGTGGAGTGTACAAAAAGGATATGTGAGGGCAGATCAGTAGAAGTAGATAAGAAATGTGCTCACTAGTGAAAAAACTGAAAGAAGAAAAGCATGACACACCAGGCAGAAAACGGATGTGAGGCACTCCCACGGAAGGTCTTCAACCCTATTGGTGCAGCAATGAATGAGCAACCAGGGCGACCCTCCAGACACACAGTCTGAGAGTGATAGATCAGTGACACGAAGTCAACTAATCAGGGTTTGAACGGTGTGTGCGAGGAATGATAGCTAGTTGAGAAGGGGTGAAGGGGAAGAAAGGGTGAAGTGGGGTAAAACTCAAATAGACCTCTGGACGCGAGTATATAATTCAGCCCAAGGGGATTGCAACTGAGAACAATTCCTCTATGTAAAATTTGGAGGGAAATCACTGAAACTAATAAGAGCTAGTTCGGAAACCCATGTGAAGTCAGGTGGAATCAATTTGCAGTCGGCAAGCATGGTCGGCACACCACCCCGAACGGCTGACTTTCAACCTTGCTTGCATTGTACTACTACTGTTATCGCATCAATAATCTTAAGGATCTTGACAAGTGTTGTATCTCTACCAGCTCTTGCTGCGCATTACTGTAACTACTGTTCTCACTACAATGACACGTCCAGAGATCCAACAACGCCTCTTTCACTATGCTAAAATCCTCATCAGCATCCTGATATGTGCTACAGGATCCCTACTACAATCTACCTACTCCAAAGACCCGTAACCGTACCACACATCCATTCTCTCTGGTGAAGGCTGGCTTATGGAGCTTCTTACTGGACATCCGGAACACATTTGATGCAAACTGGGTATGCATGCACATGCTTTTGAAGCGCTCATCTCTGAGCTCCGTAACTTCGGTTATGTTGACTCCAAGTTCGTCTCGTTGGAAGAACAAGTCGCTATATTCCTGTATACTAGCATCACGGGTCTGACTACCCGGCACATTGGAGAGTGGTTTCAGAGATCGAACGATACGATTTCACGGTGAGCGCTATTATTTTTTGATCTATACAATACATCTAATATTTCCTAGTTATTTTAAAAGGATTCTACACATATTCTCATCCCCCCCGTTCTACACTACCTACGTCCACTTACCGGACGGCACTTCGGTCTCAAAAAAAATAAAAAACAACCCCAAATTTTGGCCATTTTTCTGTGATGCTGTTGGCGCACTCGACGGAAGTCATATTCATGTGTCGCCCCCTGCCTTTGAACGCACTGTATACCGTAATTGCAAAGGTTTTGTTTCGCAGAACTGTTTATTTGCTTGTGACTTCGACCTCAATTTTGTCTACTCTTTGACCGGGTGGGAGGGTTCAGCTAATGATTCTCGGATTTATGAGGATGCGCATGTGCATGACTTCCACATTCCATGACAGAAGTACTACCTAGTGGATGCAGGATTCCCGCTTTGCCCTGAACTTTTTGTGCCATACCGTGGTGTCCGTTACCACCTCGCGGAGTGGGGCCGTGCACATATCAGGTATGTTTTTCTAACTTCTTCGTTTCTCTAACTTATATTTTGATGGCAGGCCCGTCAATAAAGAGGAGCTCTTCAACCTACGCCACGTGTCTGCACGAAATGTGATAGAGCGCATCTTTGGTGTCCTAAAACGCCGCTTTCGCATTCTCCTTTTGGCACCAGAGTACCCCCTCGACACTCAAGCACGAATTCCTGCTGCATTGTGCGCAATCCACAACTTCCTATGCCTACATGATCCCAGTGAGGATGAAGAGTCGCACGGCGAATCATAAGCGTCTGAGAACCCTGATTTTCAGGGACAAGCTGATGATGATGACGACGATGAAGAAATGAACGACAATAGTGGTCATGTGGTGAGTGGTCGCGCAATGCGTGAATGCATTGCGCAAGCAATGTGGGATCAGTATCAGGATGTCATACATGAGAGGGCTTTGTTGGACTCAGGTTCAGACTCGGAGGTATCAGATGCGTTGGACGAGAGCGAATTGGAAAGCGTAGCATAGAAACACATGTAATTCGGTACAGAAACAACAAGTACTTGGTATGGAAACAGCTAGTGCAGCTAGTGATTGAGTATGAAAAAAACAAATGAGTGCATGCGAGATTGAACAAATGGCAGGTAAACTACATGGCACTGGCGGCACAGTTACAACTGCGGACGGACGTATGGCACTTGTGGTGCTTGCGGGACCTTCTGAAATCTACACTGGATCATGTGCTGGATGAATGCGTACCGCGTGTCTTTGTCATCGTTTTGAAGGTATACATTGGTGACAGCCGGGTCATCTGCAAACATGTGCATGACAATGACCCTCTCCTGCAACGGATAGCAGTCTGCGTCTTCCCCATTCAAGATATGCAAGGCAGCGTGTCTCTGCTTCTCCAGCCTTTCCGCATCAGTAACCATACCCTTCTCGATCACATCGGTGAGACGATTGATGGACCCTTGCATGCCCACAACAGCTGCAGCTGGCGTGATCTTGGCTGCTCTTGCAGCACTGGTCATCATTGCAGATTGGCCACTGTCAGCGCATGACTGGGTTGCACGCGACTTCTGTTTCTTTGATGCTTGAGCCTCAGATTGTTGTGGCAGTTCAGATGTCGATGAAGGTACTGTGGATGCGAATGTGGCCGCATCATCATGGAACATGGATGTGGCATCGTGTGAGCACTTTCCGGTACTGGAGGTTGTAGAGATAGTTGGTCGAGTGGCAGCACTAGACAGGGGAGGAGGAGAAGCGATGGTATTGGTCCCGGACATAATGACGTCACCACTTGTGCCAGCAGCGGCACTCGTGGAGCTAGTAGATCTGCCACTCGTGCCAGTGATGGCACTCATGGAGCTAGCAGATCCAGGAGCCTGAGCTCCTGGGGCATCCACCCCAGGCTCATTGTCAATGGAGGGCACGGGAACATTGGTGGCTCGGAAAGCCGCTGCCCCTCGTGCGCCACCCACAGGTAAAATCTCCTGCATCCGCTCAAGATAGACCCATCCGGAGTTTCAGAAAGGGCGCATTGCAGAATTGGACTGAAAGAAATGTAGTATTAGTAAAACAACATGACATGAGAGTATAATGACATACCTTTTGCTGGACATATGCATCAAACACTGCTGCTGCTGCTTCCCCCTGGATGTTCGCATCATACTCAGAGTGCCACTGATTGATTCCAGACTGCTTGCAATACTTATCGATAGCATTGTAGATCTGTTTCAACTAAACACATGCTAGCTGAGATCGATAAACTGATAACGTAGATTGAAATCAGCAACTCACTGATGTCCACTTTGTCTGGCACATTTTGCCAGTCTTTTGTGGGCCCTGTGTCTTCTTGGGTGCGATATCCCTCGCTGCTCCATTGAATGTTACCATCTTGAAGTTGCCTCCTTCGGCACGCTCTGACCGATGTTCATGAAGGTAGTTGACCAGCGCAGTTACTTCTGATTCGGTCCAAAATGCCTTCTCTTTCTCTTGAGCCATGAGAACAGTAGTGTAATGTGCAGCAAGAGCTGTTAGAGATACAACACTTGTCAAGATATGTTTATGATGGGTGAGATGGACACCCTTGAGATTATCGATGCGATAACAAGATTCCATGGTGGTACACTGGTAGTAGTAGGATGCAAGCAAGGTTGAAAGTCAGCTGTTCGGGGTGTGCCGTGCCGACCATGCTTGCCGAATGCAAATTGATTCAACCTGACTTCACATGGGTTTCCGAACTAGCTCTAAGGGTGGTTGAGAATGGATGGAGCGCAAAGGCTAGCGCAATGCAATGCGAGCACGAGCGAGCTGCCGTTGACTCAGTGTGAAGCTAGATTGAGTGGCTGAAGATACATTAATGTGCGGTAAAGCACGGCCATGCGGAAAAGATATGCAGGTGCCACAAAGTGTTATAGTGAAGCGGCAAAGATGGCGGATTCGTAAGTAGCGCTGTAGGGATTCATTTCTGGCTGGGCTGGTAGAGACTGTTTTTACCTTACCTTATGTTGGCACTTTTGTAGCTTACATAATCAAGTTATCTTTTCACCAGTTACCAGTATGAGTCAGAGTACTCAGCAAGTTTTCATGATATTTCCTCTCCTCTGAGCCTTGAGCCTAGTCCAGAAACCCTTTAGGGTCGAATAGCAGCTAGGTTCTGCAAGACCCAACATTGTTCAGACTCACCATCTGAATTGTTGTACCTTCAACGCGACAACTACTGAAGCAAGGAACTGATAGGATAATGTGGCCGGTAGGTAGATACGCGCAGCGGTTGATGCAAAGCTTAGAATGTAGATTCAGATGGTAATGTGTGCAAGTGGATGATAGATTCTATGTGGGAGGTTAAAGATACATGAAATTCGTAAGTACAAGTATATATGAGAACATGCCGAAGTGCTATTCCGAGCCGAGTAGGTAGCGGCTGTAGGTAATAAGGGTCCATGATGAAACTAATAGAGATATAAATGAAATAGCATTGGAAATATGGTCAGTCTATTCCAAAACAAGTGAAATACGCACCGATAGACCAGCAGTGGATATGGATAGGACAGGATAAGGACGCTCAACAGAGCCAAGTAAAAGCTGTTACGATCCGATACATGTGTGCAAGCTGCGGCCGTCGGCCGATAGCAGAAAAGATGCACATCGCATTAGTGTTAGCACGCACAATGCAAGGACCTATGGGATGATGCAAAAATAGCCTTTACAAGGCCACAAGGACTCTAAGTCCTACAACAGCACAAAGTTCAGATGGCAAGAGAGGGCCAGGAGTTGGAGTTGAGGCTGGAAGTTGAGGGCCACAATGATCTAATGAGGAGGCAGGACAATAGAGGCAGTGGTGAAGAGTTGAACAAAGTTGGGACTTTCCCACAATTGCACTCACTACCCAGATTCAGTTGGAATTTCATTGGGGATTTTCCTACTGCATTTCTATTCAATTCCTTACATTTCTATCTACCACCATTCATCGTTCCTCCTTTCTCTTCTCATCGTCCTTCCTCTCTCTCATCCTGCCTCACTAGATCATTGTCACCCTCAACTTCCAGCCTCAACTCCCGAGGGTATATTTCATAGTTCTTAGTTGATATTGCGAATATCATCATTCCTTCACTGTCCGTATCCTTCATTGTCATTATTGCACACACCACTTGCTTTTCCGATGCTCACTATCACGTCATCATTAGTTTCCAATAACCTGAACCCGAACCCGAAAACATTGGACCCGACGCTTTTGCATCAGACATCGTAATTATACCTTCGGACATTGTTTCCCACGCTCGGACTATTGACCCCACATCACTCACTGACCCCCAAAACTATTCCCAGACTGCAGGCCCCTGGGTTGAACGCACTTGTCTCATCAAGTATAGCAGACTAGGCAGTGCAAGACCACAACATAAATATATCAGTTTGGAGCCATCTTTGTATAGCCCCACTCTGTGTTGTATTCCTACACCGCACTGTCGCTGTGCAGGGAAATCTAGTTATTACGATGCCCAACATGCACTTCATTCCAGAGTTTCACCACTTTGAAGAAGAAGACCTACAAGCCCGGGCAGATGGTTACTTCAGCGTTATCGATTGCTTCCAGTGGCCTCAGTCCTACAATGACTCTTTTTGTCATGCTGTTTGCATTCCTTGAAAGGAGGCATTTCCATTCCTGCATCCACTACATTGGGCCTGGTTCACCCCTAGCCGGGATGACCTTAAGTCCATTCCAGGGAATTCATTTCCTGTAGGCATGCTGGCTCCTGATAAGGTCGATGGCTCGCAGTCCCTTCTCAAACTGGCTGAGCAACGAGTCCACAATTACAGAAAGGATCAGCCAGACAGAGGTCAAATCATATACAGTTGCCTCTTGTACCTCCATCATGCCATCGCACGGTTGAAGTCCCACCCCCTTACTTTTTGAGATCTTCTCATTTTTGTCACTGATGCTCAGCACCTCTTTCTTGACATATACTCTTACATTGACTGGGTACTCATTCCCAGTAAGAACTGGTTATGACGGGAAAGGACTGTATGTGTTGGGATGTGTTAATAAAAATGGCCACAAAGAAAATACCAGCAGGGCACATTCTGGTTATAAAGTGGGACAATCCGCACATTTTCTATATGTTGGTGCGAGATCCCTAATGCCCTCATATGTTTTGTTTTGCAAAAACACATCAGAATCATGTAGGAGCATATAGTGGAACCACCTCGGTGCTATATCAGAATGTGTTTAAATAGTATTATATATGATTTTATTGTGTATCGCTTGCATCTCGAAATATGCACAGGTAACATTGGGTGTGATCATATTATACACTGGGAGCACTGAAATAACAAACGGCTACAAAAATACATCAGCGGTCAGTGCATGAAGGTATCGAAAGTGCATCAGAAAGAGTCTGTGAATAGAGGTATCGAAACTTGAAAGTGTGCAACTGAATCTGAAACATGCGGCTGAGAGTGGGGGAAGTCTGATGTAATGTATAAGAAACTGACACAGGCCATCATAGTACTAATGCGGTAATTCACATCCCAACACATACAGTCCTCTCCCATCATAGCCAGTTCTTACTGGGACTCATTGCCCAACCTCGTACCACTTTTGGTGTTTGCCATGAGGTCAACTTAGGATGGATGGGGGGATTCATGCAGAGCAGTGACATCTGCGAGAAGTTATTCTGCACTGGTGTCCCAGCTTGGTATGTCCATACAAGCGCATACATACCCCTGAAAATGATGGTTGTTGAACCGGTCTTACTCACATGCCCAGATCACATCATTATTGCCATATACACAGAGGGCAGAAAAATCTGCCCATTTGAAGTCATCTACCATGGTCAAGGTGGTCGCAATCGTCATATGCACATTCACTGCCTATATGCAGGCATGACATACCAAGATCCCGAGTCTGACAAATCTTCTCAACTGTCGTCCAGCTTGAGTTGTCCTGCTTCTGGTCCCAAATTATCTGCTCTTGGCAAGGCGCCTAAACAGAAGGGAAAACAATGGCACCGGTGTAGAGACTCGTGTGTCTCATGGTGTGATATGGCAGGTTTCACTAGGAAGTATACAGCACAAACTCGCAGCGTCATTCTGTGCGCTACCCACAGCTATCTCTATATGACGCGCAGCTTTCCCACGCAACGCGCGCCATGCGCGCACCATTCCCGCGCTTCGCGATGTATACGCGCGCGCGCGTTCCTGCGCTTGCGCGCCCTATAGCGCCAGCCATTCAGATGCATCCATCCACTGTCCACCAAGCTTCCTAGTACGTATATTTCCATTTCCTTTATTAGCATAGTTCCACCTTTATTTTTATCATAGTTTCTCACTCATATATATCCTTACATACCTACTCGGTAGCGCTTCGGCTCCGCATGACCGCGCTTAGGCGCGCTATATAAGCGCCAGCAGTACATACTATTACTTACCTACTTTTCCTACTTTTCACTTACTAGTTACTACCCACTTACTACTTAGCAGAATATAGTAGAAAGCTATTCCTTTACATTTTGCACTCTTATATCTCTTATCTTGCTTTATATCACTACTTAAGCTTAGTTTCTCATTTCCGCATACGCGCGCGCGTTCCCGCGCCTTTGTACCTTGCGCGCTCCTGCGCTTTCTCGCGCTTCGCTTAAGCGCACACTTCTAGATCCTTGCTGCACTCACTTCCCCTATAGGGTCAAACGCACTTGCTTCTCAAGTAACGCAGACTAGGCAGCGCGCGACCTTACAACTTTTACAGATACAGTCAGGAGCTTCTTTTGTTCCTCATTGTATTGTTGTTTCTACACCGGCCTTGTATGTAACATTTTTTCTTTGTATATGTTGCATGCTCACACAATTTTCAGACTTCATTGAAGCTCGCCCTACACAGTCAGGTGAATCTAGGGATAAGTGGAAAGATCCTGAGACTCCTTTCCTTCCACCGCCAAACCTGCATTGGGATGGTGCCATGAAAACTGCCATTAAGGACAAGTCTTGTGTTCGCACACCCTACATTATCAATCGGGGGTATAGATTCTCTGAACCTGCTCTCCTCCTCGGTCCCAAGTTGCCTGAATGATTGCAACTATACCTTGCCAACTGGCTTGCTGCTTGTCCACTGTGGATTGGCCGAGTTGACCATGATCATCCATGCACTTATCCCACTCCTCAGCTCTGGCATGATTTCCTCAGTAGCGTCCCTTCTGTCCAACCACAATCTTCCAAAGGGAAAGAGCCAGACGGAAAGAGTCTTACAGCCACCAAGAAGGGGAAGCGAGCAATGCGGTGTAGGGATTCATTTCTGGCTGGGCTTGTAGAGACTGTTTTTACCTTACCTTATGTTGGCACTTTTGTAGCTTACATAATGAATCAATCTTTTCACCAGTTACCAGTATGAGTCTGAGTGCTGAGCAAGTTTCTATGATATTTCCTCTCCTCTGAGCCTTAAGCCTAGTCCAGAAACCCTTTAGGGTCGAATAGCAGCTAGGTTCTGCAAGACCCAACATTGTTCAGACTCACCATCTGAATTGTTGTACCTTCAGCGGGACTTATTCAGTGATGACCTGTTGGAAACTCAGGGTGATATATTTTCACCAGAAGGAGTTGTTGAATTTTGGGGTGAACAAGTCTCCATCGCTAGTCTTGCCACCCCTCCTTCGCTTCTAGTCCAGAAGATCACCTAGGAGTTATTTGAACTTGGCTTTCGGTACGAGTTGAGGGATCTCGATCATTACTTGGCATGGGGATGTTGGAACAATGATGCCATTGGTCATGAGCAGCTCCTCCATAGCATCTTCCTAGGTGAGGCTGGTTTGGTGATGTGGTCAGAGTTGTTTCCATCAGAGAACTATGGGTTGTGGAACAACACCTTGATGGGCTGTCTTCCTTACCTTGAGAATTTCCGAAGACTGCTTTGTGATTGGGATGATGTTCTGCCTTGTCTTATGACACCACTGACCTCAGACAATTTCACAGATACATACTCCTGGGAAGTCAGGTGCATGGCGGTGACATTTTACATTCAAACATTCTTTGATCATTTCGGCAGGCCTCCCATTGTGCCCCACTTGCTTCCTATGCAATCATAATCTCATAATTTCGCTGTTTTTGTCTTTTGCCCATAGCAATGTTTTGCAGTTTCGTTACCTCATCATTATATGTTTGATTGATGTTACTGGATTCCTGCTAGTTGAATTTGTGTGACATAATCAGCGACACTGCCTCCAGTGTGATTTGATGTTCATGTGCAATGTAGGACACTCTGTTACTCAATTTTGTAGGGCCATGGCATGGACTTCCATTTGTAGGCTTCTCATTCTCTCATCTGTTTGCTCTCATTCATGTATCCTCTGTTTTAAAGCTCCTTTTTCATTCTGCGAGTTCCATCAAAACATATATCTGGTTCAGTCAGTTGCACAACAAAATTCACTTATTGGGCTAGTGCAGTTACTGACATAATTACATCATGACATTGAAATGCAGATGATGAGATGTCCGACTATGTAGGGTTCCTGACCCGAAGGACTTGCTCTGATGCAATTATGGACATTTGCCTTGAGGGCTTTGTCTTCCAACTTCCAGTGTATCTCCCAGTGTATCCACCACCACCAGTTATTCCATTAAACTCTCCTCAACTGCCCATTGGTCCACCCAGTGTCCACTACAATTAATCACTGCCATTGAACTCTGCTGGACTGCGCTGTAGAGACTGATATCTCTGTGGCCTTGCAGAGGCTATATATGCGACCTGTCTCAGAGTACAGTTTGATGCACAACTTGTGCCAATACCTTTCCAATCATTCCCTATGCAAAGCGAAACTCTCCCGCGCCAAGCGCGCGCTACCTTCCCACGCATCGGCCGCCCCAAGCGCAGCATTCTTGTGCGCGCATTAGGCGCGCTTTCCCGTGCTCGAAGCACCCTATGTCGCACATCCATCCATTGTCCAAACTAACCTCACTGGTACATGTTCATATCATTTTCTCCATATCAGACCATATTCTATTTTAATGATTGCTCAATTCTCATGTCATGGACCCTTATTACATACCTTACCTACTCGCTTCAGCTCCGCTTCAGGGGCGCATTTTTAGACATATATAAGCGCCTGTAGTTCATATTTTACATCATCGAATCATATAGAAGCTCCCTGCACCTCACTATCAGTGTAAAGCTCATCCGTCACATGCCATAGTCAGTATCTATTGGCAATAAGAACATCCTTAACGTCTATTACGAACCTCTGCTTGTAAACCCACCTTGCGCTTTTCCCGCGCTGCTCAAGCGCTACCTTCCCGCGCATCGGCCGCCCTAAGCGCTTCGTTCTCGCGCTCGCGCCTCACGCGCTTTCCCGCGCTCTATGTCGGCCGACAAACGGCACCCTTTGCACCAACCCCTAGATCTCTGCTGTACTTGCTTCCCCTTTAGGGTCGAACGCACTTGTCACCACAAGCATAGCAGCTTAGGCAAGCAGACCCAACACATAGTTCAGAATACCACCATCTGGATAGTTGTTTCTACAACGCTAGAATTGCTGTCGCACCCTCATTCCCTGGTCTACGGTGTTTTCCACAAGGGCGCGGGTTCTCACAATGGACAGGTGATGACTCGAAAGCATTAATGAAGGTAAGCCTGATGCTTGTATTATCTTGTGTACACTTATGCAACTATTTACTAGGTCTATCTTCCAGCAATCGAAGGGCACGTACCGGACAATGTAGTTTGAGCATTTCGAGCATTTCTGGAATTTTGCTACATCGTTCATGCCAATATCATCACGGATGATACTCTCACAGAGCTCAGGGATGCCCTCAAGCGCTTCCATAGATACCGCACCATATTCCAGACTATCGGTGTCTGCTTTGACATCTCCCTGCCCCGACAACACTCCCTTGTTCACTATGAGATTCTCGTCCAAATGTTTGGCGCCCCAAACGGGCTTTGTTCATCCATCACCGAATCCAAGCATATCAAGGCAGTAAAGAAACTGTGGCGACGCTCAAGCAAACACAAGGCTCTCGGTCAGATGCTCCTCACCAATCAGCACCTGGACAAAATTGCGGCAGCAAGAGTTGATTTTCATTTGCGCGGGATGCTTAAAGGTTCTTGCGCTTTCAGCTACTATAATTCATTTTGTACATGCTTTATGTTTGATTTTGATTTGTTTTTATTCATTAAATCCCCAGTCAATAATTGCTTCAATCCCGAAGATGACAACAGCACTGAGTTGGACATCGACAACAACAACCATGAAGCGCAATGGCCCGAAAAAACCAATCCATTTGCCAAGGAAGCTGACGACTATGGCGATGTCGAGGATGATGGAGTTGTAGATGATGAGGACATTATTGCTGATGTGAACTTGGCACGTTGTGCTTGTGCATATTCAAACTTTCTGACAACTTTCGAGCATTAATGTGACATTCAGAACGTAAATGTGCGCGTACAATTCCCAAACTTGCAGATGAACTTGATTTGCCATCACTCCCACATCTCATTCGTCTGTTTTTATATGACCAGATTCACACTGACGACAATCATTCTTCCGCCGATGTCCCCCTTCGTGACTGTCCATCTTTTACAGGACGCATCAAGATTTTCCATTCTGCTTCCACTACGTTCATTGCACCAAGCGATCCAAGCGGAATCACTGGCATGCGACACGAGCACATTCATGCTGTGCCCTCATGGTGCAATGGACCAGGCCGGTATGACCATCAGCAAATCGCTGTGTTCCTTTTCGTCCCTTAGTCTACTTAAAAATATTATTAAGGCCATCAAGGAAAATAAGCTGCTATTTTTATACCTGGTTCAATTTATTCTAAGGCCAACGTCATTGCAAGTAAGTTTAGGGCAAGGTAAGGCAGGATGTTTATGATAAGGCAGCGAAGGCAAATGAGTTCACAGAAGTAGTACAGTACAACTTATTTACATGTATTTACTTAGCTTGGCAAGGCAGAAAAACAAGTGCACAAGTGTGAACAAGCAAAGTTGGTATATCCAAAGACCAAAACACATAGTAAGTTCCACCGGCACTCATTGTCTTGATCATTGATCAAGGAGATATACAGAACATGGCTTCCAAACCGGTGTATGGTAGTATATGAGGGGGGAGGTGCCAGTGGGGAGAGATAGCGATTCAAGCAGAGGCAGCAATTAGGGCTGAGGTGGAGGTGGAAGAGGCAGAGGCGAAGGTGGAGGCAGAGGCGAATGCGAAGGCGGAGGCAAAAGCAAAAGCAAAAGCAAAAGCAAAAGCAAAAGCAAAAGCAAAAGCAAAAGCAAAAGCAAAGGCAGAGGCTTCATTGGAGTTCTGGAAGAAGGTAAAGGAATGGGTATGGTGCAGGAATCGAAAGAGAATGTGTTGCACGAGCGCAGGAATCGAAACGGAACACATTGAAGTTGCCCGGCAAGCGCAGGACTTGGGACAGAGCATGTCGCTCGGCGAGTGCAGGAATCAAAGCAGAGCATGTCATCTGAGCGCAGGAATTGAAACAGAACGTGTTGCTCGAGTGTAGGGTGACTGTAGTTAACAGTGAGTACTAGGATGTCTCACATTTGACAAGGACTGACCAATCATCTTGAGAGTGTTGTCTTCATAACTCTGCCTGCCAAAGTTCGTGCTGTCAGTCTTGTACCTGTGTATACTAGTGAAATTAGTGTAAAATGGAGTCATGCTATCTCGAAAGCATGATGATCTACATATTTGTTAACATAAAATGAGTCGAAGGCATCATATGAGTTGTGCGGACTCATTGTACAAGTGATAAAATTTGTGCCGTATACTGGAATGAGGTGGGCAGTGCGAAAAACACAATCAATATGAACAATTGATATGTCTGGAGTGCCATTGTCAGTTGTTCCAGGTGTGATGATATACATACCCGTGTCAGGATCATGGCTTTCGAGTATGTGAGAGTACCAGCAGACAACAGCACAAGGAAAGTATGATGTCCGGTATTGGAATGAGAAAAGGCACAACACCCGCGCAACTGAAAGTCCGCCCATGGGAGAGTCTGTATCAGCATCCATGTTAATGAAGACACAATCACACCTAGCAGGGCCTCCCCACCATGATGGTGTTGACCAGATATACTCACGGCGCATGCCTCCAGTGCCACTCAGATCACTAGGCACATAGAATGTCACAGCGGCAGAATTAAAAAGTGTCGCTTTCCCTAAGAATATTGGGGCTGTCATAGGATCAAAATGGGGAGGGTCGGGGTTCGTCGAATGGAGCTGGTCATGGAGGAATTCTTGAATCATACCAGGGAAATGTGGAAGGTTGAGTTGAAGGCCGAGTGTCTTGACGTTCAGGACACATTCTAAGTATTGTGAGGAAGGGTTGAAGGACATGTGAACTGACTCATGGGGTGTCACTCCAAGTTCAACGTGAGATTCCGCCGTTGGTCCATCAAGAACTTCACCAGCATCTCCCTCGACGGATTGATTTTGAGGTTCACGAACTTGCAGGCGCCCAGGGAGACCTGCAAGTGTTGTGCCAGCCATTGCATCATCATCCGACTCACTATCTTCATCATTATTATGACCTGTTTCGGGGTGAGAAGTGCTGGATTGTTATCACAAATGATCATGCACATCTTTGAAGTTCTTGCAAAGCTTCCAAGAGGCAAGAACCACGAAGCATGCCGCATGCCTCAAAATCTGCACGGGCAGCTGCAACTTTGTCAAGGCGCTGGTTCGTTAGCAACATTTGACCCAGTGCCTTGAACCTGCTAGAGCAGCGCCAGGGTTCTTTTACTGCTTTTATGTGCTTAGACTCCGTTATGGAGGAACAAAGACCGTTAGGCACCCCAAAAAGTTGGATCATCGATACGTTGTAGAGACTCATGCCTCTCATGGCATGATATGGCAGTTTTCACCAAGGAGTATATAGCACCAACTTGCAGCACCACTCTGTGTGCAGTCCGCAGCTATCCCTATACGAGGCGCAGCTTTCCCGCGCATTCCCGCACTTGAGCGCCCTATAGCGTCAGCCATCCAGAAGCATCCATCCACTGTCCACCAAGCTCCCTAGTGCATATATTTCCATTTCTCTCTTTTGCATAATGTTCCACCTTATTTTTATCATGGACCCTTACTTATATATATCTCTACATACCTACTCGTTAGCGCTTCGGCTCCGCATTACAGCACTTAGGCGCGCTATATAAGCGCCAGCAGTACATACTACTCCTCACCTACTTTTTTACCACTGAACTTCACCTCTCACTTTACCTACTACTTACTAACCTAGAAAGTCGCAGTAGAAATCTATTCCTCTACACTTTGCATCTCTCTTCACTTATCTTGCACTATATTACCACTTAAGCTTAGTCTCTCTATTGTTTCCACATACGCACGCACACTTTCCCGCACTTCGCGCCAATACGCGCGCGTGTTCCCGCGCCTTGCGCGCACCTGCACTTTCTTGCGCCTCACTTCAGCGCATACCTCTAGATCTTCGCTGCACTCGCTTCCCCTTTAGGGTCAAACGCACTTGTCTCCTCAAGTAACACAGACTAGGCAACACATGACCTTACAAACATTTATAGAGACAGTCAGGAGCATCATTTGTTCCTCACAGTATTGTTGTTTCTACAACATAGTGATACATAGAATGTTGGCGGGGAAGGGAGAATGATGTGGTTACACCAGTCATTTTGAAGATCTCCCAGTATTTGTGAAAGTGTTCCACAACTTCTTGAAGTTGTACAAGGTCGTCTTCAGTGAGTGCCTCGCGCCGTACAAGATAACAAAAATCAAGGCATGCACTAAAAGCGCGCGTGATGTCTTCAGGGACATGATTCTTGATTGCAGGTATATAAACCTAAATATCGCATAAGTTGACTCGCACACAGGTTTCAAAATAAATTATTCAGCACACCTTCATTAATGCCTTGGAGTCGTCGCCAGTCCACTACTTGAATCCGCATCCATCTGGAAAGTGTCATAACCCAGCGAATGGGGCGACCGCTGCTATCCTTTAGTATTATGAGTATTAGTTGTCAAATGTTCCATGGTTTGTGTACCTTCAATCAATATCATCCATAATTTCAGCTGCAAGGTGAGCACCATGTGTGGCCGTCAAATAGTCTTCCACCCAATCAACTAAGTGGTCCTTAAAAGTCCCCTTGATGATCTGGTGCAAAAGATCTGGGGAGAGAAGCTCATGGATATCTGCAAGAGGGAAATCATTGGTGAACAGCTAGTAGAGGGTTGATATAAGTCCTGGCAAGTTTGTACAATAGGCAACTTACAACGAGATCGCTGATGATACCATACTCGGACCACAGCTGTTTATGTGTCAGTCAGTCAACGAGCAGCTCCGTGTGTTCTTCGCGCCTATGCAGACAAGGCTGACCACCGTCAAGGTCCTTGCTATCTGCCAGACACCTGTGAAGCACATATGTAAACAAATACAAATAAAACAAATTTTGTCGTACCGTGGACACCATCGCTGCACAACACCAGATAGCATCAGCTGCTCAGGGTAATCAGCGATGTATGGGCCAATACCATAAATTGTTCATTGAAAGTGACCGTCCGGAAAGCGCGTGACATCAGGAGTTTCCATGAACGTTTTCACAGATTCGAAAATTTTTGCCAGGGACCGCTGAAAGAGTTGTCGACGGAAGTTCCTATAATGAACACAATTATTATGCTCCTTTGTGCCTAAATAAACAACATGAGTTTACAACAAGAGACATTTAAGTGTGGGTCCTTACTTTTCGGTATAGCAAGGAACCCAACAAGTACGACACCATTGCGATGTGCACGTCGCACACTATTGAAAATATTACTGATCGATAGGTAGAGTGGGTGATACTCGGTGTGTCCAGTAGCAACTGAGACGATTGTCTTGTCGCTTCCCATAATCAACGGCACGAATGTTGAACCATGGGTCTCCTGATTTTGAGCAATTAGATCCTAAATGTGATTCTCAGCACACTGCAACTTGAATTCTGGCTTGAAAACACTCACCACTTGATTCCATGCCCAATCACCTGACATAAGGTTCTTCCAGTACCATTTGTTGTCAGTGGTGTAGTCACGGTAGGGCAAAAATTCAATTTCCCCATTGAAGTCGGGATTTGCGAGCATGTTGCACACAAGTTCCAGTGGGTCTCTATACCACACATTGTATTGCGTGGTCATCCACGGTGGTACATTATCTTGTGGTTTGATGCCGTTGTAGGACATTGCGAAGCTCTGCCAGGGGATATCGCCTAGTGGGGTCGCATCAATGGTTGCAAACATGTCCTTGTGGTTGGCGAAAGGGGGAGCATCATTATGCTTGATGAGAGTTGCGGCCCATAAGTCGAGCAGCATGTCGATTTGCTTTGCAGACATTTGGTTCTGCATAAAGAGGAATTCTGCTGTCTCAAATTCAACTCTGTTTCGATAAGGCATCCAGTCGGTTGACGGGGCATTCGTACGAGGTGAGGGAGGTGCATCTTGATCAATAAATGTACCATCAGTGTTGCATTTGAGCCCTGAGTTGCAAAGAAAACAGTTCAATTAGATAGAGTGAAAGGACTTGACAAAAGACACCTACCTGTGAGATGCGGATGGAACACACGGAACAAGTTTCCCATGTCCACCCAAGTATCTTCTTCAGGTACAAATCCTGGATTCTCCTGCTCGTCCTCTGCACCTGGAATGGGAGATTGTGCCCTTGGAGATATAAAGCCAGGACCTGGGACAGTTCAGTTGATCTGTGGGGGTAGTGGATGCTTCATGTGCTTGTGCTT